ATGCTAGTACATGTGTGGATTTCAGAAAAACATTGAGCAAACAAGAAACCAGAGACAGAAATGTATATAAAACTCCACTTATGTGAAATTCTGGAAGAATTGGACTTGGTATGTGTTAGTGTAGCAACAGTGCTTGCTTTGGTAGCTGGAGGCCTGCCTACAGGATTGGAAAGGATGGCAGTGAACTTTGCGGGTATTGGGGTCACGTGGATGTGTACATTTATCAAAAGTCATACCGTTCACTTAAGGTCTATGCATTGCTTTGTAAATTAGTCATCAAGAAATTAATACCCCTGCATGCCCCCACAAAATGAAAGTTCAAAAACCAGACCAGCTTAGTTCAAATTCTGACTCTGACATTTTAAAGCTATGTAACTTTGAGCAAATTATTTAACCCCTCTGTTTTAGTTTTCTCATTTGTAAAGTGGAGTTTATAACTAGACTTAATTTAGGGGTTTTGTGGAGATCAAAATGAGTAAATACATGGAAGTGCCTCAAAAAGCACCTGGCATGTAGTAATAATAATGACGAAAACACTATGTTTTAGAGTTGCCTATGTTCTTGTCTTTGAAAGTTGATAAAGTAAGTGGGGTGTCTTGAAGAACTATTAACTAAATATTTCAAAATCAACTTTTATTAGATGAGTAACTCTTGCCACTTGGGGGTCCTGAGTCCCTTTGTGAATCTGACAAAGGCTTTTGCCCTCTCCTAGAAAAGTGCTCCTAATATACACACAGAATTTTGTATAATGGGTATTAGTTTCTCTGTAACCTTGAGGAAGTTATAGATGGGTGTGATACATTGATTTTGTTTTTGTTTTTACTTAAGTAAAAATCTGGCTAAAGTCCCTTCTTACCAAGTATAAGAAGAAATCTGATATCAGTCAATATGGGTTGGTGCCTTCCCCATCTTCAATCCTGCAAAAATGGCTCCTGTGAACTTTGAAGATAGGATTGCTCACCTGGCCTCACACCTAGTCCTTAGCTCATACTCATCTGTCATTGTCCTTGTCTTTAGGACCCACATAGAGCAGGTGTCTGAATCCAAGCTTCTGGCAGATTTGGCCACAGGGAACTGCTCCAAGGTTCATAAGTCTGCTGTCACCAGTCCCCAGGCCTCCAGGACAGCCACACACCTATCCTATCTGATCCTGCCATGAGCTGGCTTAGGTTTCTACTCCCCAAGGCCTTGCTGTACCTGAGCCTCGGGAATCCAGAGAATTGACTTTTTCCCTGTCATCTTCTAAGCACTTTCTGTTCACTCTCCTTCTCATTTATACAAGCCAGTTTCATCTTGGGCCTACGTGTTTGAAAATCCACAATAGCCCAACATCTTATTTTTTATCTAAAACACACAAGACTTTTGACTTCTTGTTCAGCAAAAAAAAAAAAAATGCCCAACCCTCAAGACAAAAAGCCCTGGAGACCCCTAGGAGGTTAGGAAATATCTAGTTCTACATGGTCTATAATCTTAAAGGTCACTTGGGCTGTGATTTCCTGTGTCAGCCATAAGGAAGCTCTAAGCTCACACAAGCAGGGGAAGTCTCAGAAAAGCAATCAGTGTAGAGCAGTGTGTGAGGAGGTCAAAGGGAAATGAAAACCTTGGCCGAGATGTAAATTTTTTAAGTGAAGGAGTTTGGGCCTGCTGCATAGAGCTTTTGAAGGGGAAGATGGGAACCGAGGATTACACTGTATATTACAATGAACTTGTATGTCTGGCAGTGATTACAGTCTGCTTAAACATGTAATAAATGAGCAGAATGTGCTGCTTTTTCATGTGGGGCCTGTAATGACATGGACCAAATCAAGACTGCCACTCTAAAGGGTGTACCCATCGAGTGTGTGGGACCTTTTAATGTTTGGTTTCTGTTTACAGATTAGGACTCTCTTCACACTGAGCTTCTTATTGCCAAGAAAAATCAGGAGCCTTAGGGGGAATTATAGTTGTCTCTGCAGCTTGTCAGATCAGAGTAACGTCAAACCCTTTTTATTTTTTTTTTCCTCTGTTGACAGAATAACACCGACGGACTTCAGGAACTTGCCTATGGGGGCTTAATTTATTGCTTGGGAGTTGTGTTCTTCAAGAGTGATGGCATCATTCCCTTTGCCCACGCCATCTGGCACCTCTTTGTGGCCACAGCAGCTGCCGTACACTACTACGCCATTTGGAAATACTTATACCGAAGTCCTACAGACTTTATTCGACATTTATGACCAGTCTGGACTAGGTCTCCAAACAGTATTATCTCAACTGTGGCACTTGGGAGTGGGGTAAGAGCTGAAAATTGCACAGGGAAAAAAAAAAAAGCAATGCACTGACTTTCTTTATATCTTTTGAATATAATTACTGTGAAAGGTTAAAAGCTGCGTTCTGGATTTCCCCCCTCACAGCAAACAAATAAGGCAGTGAGTTCATTATTCATTCCATTCCACTATCATGAAGGACTCTGGATAGACTTTGGCCAACTGATGTTTACAAACCAGAATTTTGTATTTTAATTTTACAGATTTTACTACATGATTTTTCTAAATTAGTAGGTCATGTTATAAAAGTCAGTGCAATAACAAAACTTCCTTTGTAAGAAAAAAAATTCTTTCTATCGCTTTCCCATTCACTGTGTAAAGAATCATGAACAGAACTTACACTACTTTTTACCATGTTTCATCTTGGCATAACATGGTTATTTTTTAAATAGAAACTTTAGTTTTTTGTAAATTTTTTAAAAATACTTCATTGACCTGCTTCTCTGCGGTTCCTCATTCATGTTGTGAATTTTTGCAGCAAGCAGTCAACATTCCACAAATGAACAAACATTATACCTCTTCTGATAGTTATATGAAGTGTGGAAAAATTGCCAATTTTTAAAAACTGCAGTTTTCCAAACTTTTCTGCCAACCTCTGACTCTGAATTCAGTGCTGCTTTGGGCCATACACTTGACACGGTTTGGCTTACCAGTGATGGAAAAGCATTTTGATATCATTAACTTTTTCAAAAGATCCAACTTTTCTCTATGCCTTTGCCATGTTTTCTTCAGGGTCTCTTTCAACAGTGGATGAGTATTCTATGTGTTATGCTAGTGTTGTTGGGCTGGCCATCCGCTGAAAATTTCTCAAGAGCATTATGAATTACAGTGAAGAGTGGTATTGCCTGTTCTGTGCCCAACAGGTTAGGTCACTGTCACTTAGTTTATAGTATCAGTTTGAAATTCATTTTAAATTGTGAAATCAGATTATAAATTCACATTTCTGCCTTTCCTCTGCATCTCCCGATATACTTTTTTTTTTTTAAACTACAAAAATATTTAAAGCATTGTTTGACAGGTAGAAACTTGTATCTGTAGTCCATGAGTTATATCCTGGCTCAATGGAGTAGTATTTATATATTATTTTTGTTTTTCCTCAGTGTGTTGTATTACAGCTAATGTCTTAGTTGCTTTGTTGGTTAACCTCTCTTGTTGGTGTTGTAAGAAATGAAATAACCTTGCCCTTAGTTCGGGTACCAATACTGCCTATTTTCTAGCAATGCACTTGCTCAATGGAATTGTTGAATTGATAATTAGCTTATTAATTCAAATTTTGTACTGACGTAGCTTTAAAAGAGAGTTTATTTTGTGTGTATGTTTAGAACTCTATGATTTTGGTAAATTATAGGGGAACAGAACTGATGTTTGCCGATGAGTTCTTAATTAGGCAAGGTACCCATGACATCACCACCCAGACCACCTCTATCTGCATGATTCTGAACATCTGGATGCCTGTTGTTTTACTGTGTATATTTTATTTTAACATATGAACTTTTGTAGATTGATTTAAAAATCTGCTTAAAAGTTACACTGTCAAAAACCACTAAAATGTATGTAAAAATTGTGCTGTAGATTAGAATAAAATTGTTACTTGGATTTATTCCACTGTCTCTAAATCAGATGACTCTGAAAATAATAATGCATATTTGAGATCTTCAGTTCATCTTGGCATTTACAAGTTGTGTACTATTTCCTTTTTTAAAAATCATAATGGAAAGAAGAATATGCCCTCTCATTTAGAACTTTCTAGTCTACCTGTTAATAATTGAAATTCCAGAGCCAGCTCAAACATTAATCAACACTCTTATCAATCTAAAATATGCTAGTTGTGGCCTGAAGACAGTTTTGTAGATGATGTCTCTTTAATAAGAGCAGCCTTTTGGTTGAAGTTATCTGATACACTGCAGTACTAAGGTCACAGGCTTTTCTGTTACCAGCCATACATACATCATACTGTAAATCTAACCACTCTGGGTGTTTGGTGCAGAAAACTAGGATCAAAGAGATTGTAAGGGCTTCATCCTTAATCAGGGAGCTGGGACAGGAATCCAGGTCTGTCCCATTCCAGAGCCTCCCGTTCACCGTACATCACTCTGGAAAAGTCAGCAAGAACAAATTAAAAAACAAAACAAAACAAAAAAACTTTTGAACTGAAAATTGATTGAGTGTGGGCCTGGAAAAGAAGACGCTATTCATACAGCATAGAGCCTCAATAAACCCTCAGACAGTGCTCCATCCAATCTAATTTTGAGAATTACATGCCCCGAAGCAATATTATCCCCATGAACTCCAACCTCTAGTTCACCAGGATCACTTCCTCCAATTCTAGAGCACACTGCTGCCCTGTCACCTTCCTGATCAGCAAGTCCAGCCTAAACTGTTTCAAAGGACCAGACCTCTATACTCAACTGCATAAGTGTCCCCGGGCATGCTCACTTACCCTGTCATTACCTTTCCTTATCCCCCGTCACACATATCTCTCTGAAATTTCTCATCTTAGTTGATGGTATGGTCACCATGGTTCATTGTCTGTCTGTCCATCCATCCATCCTTGGTTTCTCTTCTCTCAACCCCAGGAGCCAAGCAGTAAACCAAGCTTGTCACCTCTGCCTTAGTCACACTCTGATCAGGTTCCTCACCTCCTTTCCCACTGCAAGGCCTTAAGAAGCCCTGGCTAGCAGTCCTCACACTACTGCAGCTACTCCCTCATTTCTATCCCTGCCACCCCTCAAACAAGCTCGTCCTCCACACTGACACCAGCATTTTCTTCCTGAAATAAAACCTGAGCATGTGTCTCCCCAGCTTCAGAACTTCCATTGTTGTTAGCCTGTAAGTCTCATGCCAAATGCCTTAGCCTACTTTTCACGTGCTGATTCCTTGTGGACTGCCTTCTCCCCCAGCTGAACCCCTCTCGACACCAGTGCTGCTGGTGAACTTCACAGTCTCTCTTATTTTTTTATTTTCTTTTTTTACTTTGGTAACCATGCTTTTGCACCTGCTGTTGCTTGGCCAAATCTCTGCTGTGCTGTTGACCCCAGCCCCACACATGGTTATTAGTCCTCCTCTTTGATTCTACAGCCCTGATACTCCTTCATGGCCCTGTAATATTACATTGATGGTGTTTACTGTCTTTCCTTTTTTTTTTTTTTTTCTGTGGTCCTGAAACCAAACTCTTGGGAGGCAGGGCTGAGTCTCATCCACCTCTATTTCCAGGTTGGAGTGTAGCGCTGGGCTCACGGTAAGGACAGTTTGTTGAATGAAAGAGAGAATGGAGGGTGGTTAGGCATGGTGTTGTGGAGGACAGACTGAGAAAGACAGATTTTGGTTTTCAGCAAGTTCATCTCGTCCATCATGAGCACTGAGCTGGGCTCTAACTGACTGGAACCTGACCTTCAGCTTTTTCAGAACATTTGGAGCAACCACAGGAAAGCTAATGAGAAACTGGAAACTGGAGTGTGAATATTAGTGTGCTCTGAATAAGCCAGAGTCAAGCTTGTTTATTGAAGGTTTCATCAAACCTACTATCAACAGTTCATAAGCTTGGAAAATTATTTCACCTACTCTATTTCCCCTCGGTCCTTCTTTTCTGAACATAATAATAAAATAAACAGAAATAGCACTTAGTTCTGCAACCCTTGAGCCTTAGTGAAGATTATAGTAAAAAAGTAATAACTTTAAATCATATATTTCTACCCTAAAAAAATCATATAACTATATGAAATTCTTTGGAAAATAGAGACAAGAAAATTAAAAATTACTGAATCCATTCATCCTAACATGTTTTCATACGCCTTTTCTCAACCTTTCCCACCTATTCATAGAATTTTCTACATTGCAAATATGCCATGTATATAATTTTATATAGTACTAATTATCCTCACTTATAAACATTTAAAAATACTGTAGAGTTTTATACCTAGAATTTTCTTTTTCCTTTATGTACTGTGCTGAGGATTAGACCCCAAGCCTTTCACACTCTAGGCAACATAGCCAGAATTTTCAATGGCTCCATCACTTTTCAGAACTGAATATGCAGACTGTTTTGCTTAATCCTTCACTTAAATTTGGAATTTTAGATTTTTTTCAGTTTTTTTTTATTATAAATAATGCTACAGGGACCATATTTATGATTGGGGTTTAAAGATAATAATAAAAAATTGAGTATTACTTATGAATTGGGTTCTGTCTTGTTTAATCAGTACAAAAAACATTATAGGTAGATGATTTTTCCTATCCCCATTTTACAGATGAGAAAGCAAGAACAGAGGTTGGGTTCTTTGCCCAAGGTAAGTGGCAAAGCCCAAACAAACTAAGGAGGCCTTGAGTTCTGTTTTCCTTCTCAAGAGTTCAGTTCCTGGGTCAAAGGTTCATTAATGGATTCACCCAGAGAAAGACCTAAAAATATAGCTCATGCCAAACATCCTTTTTTTTGCATCTTTGGGTTATGGCACCACATGCCCAATTAGATGGAGAGTGGAAGAGGAAAATCTCCGAATGAAACCTGACCTTAAAGAAGCTGGTTCAACTCCCTCCTCATAAAGTAAAATAAAGTTTCCCAAGAAGACCTGGGGAATGTTTTCAGTTTTAACAAGGTTAGAATTACTGCATTTATGTCTTTCTGCTGCTTTTGCTGTTTGAAATAGACAGTGCCAATATGTTCTTATATTCTGTGCCATTCCCACCTACATCCCTGCAATACATCAGTGATGGTATTTTTCCAAGAAGCGGTGCCATTGTGCACTCGGGCTGCTTTGCAAGGGGAGTTAAGCTGTTCTCATCAGGAGCCAGCTCAGCACAACAGAGCACTTTCTCACTCTGCTACACAGCTCATTATCACTCAGACTTTCGCTGCAGTCAGAAGTCATTAAGTCAAAGTAGACTAGTGAGGCTTATGGAAGAAAATGTGGGGAAAAATACTTTGGAGCCTACCCAATCTCCTAGGAGAGCCCACAGGTCATTTGCTGCCCTGTTCCAGGCCATACTTAATGCACGCAGTCTGTCGGCCAATGGAAAGACCAGAAAGACATTCTCAGCAAAAGTATTTGATTCTCTTAAATCATTTTCGGAATCCCATCAGTGAGCTGCATTGCAAATCAGTGTAGAATCAGACAATCTGTGACAAATTGGCTGGGTGAGCTTAGTTAGGCAAGTTTAAGTATTACCTTTGAGTTCAGTTCTTGTCTGCAAAAGGGGTATACCAACTTCCTCAAGCATTGTCATTATGTTTAAAAAATATACCACAACTGTTTGGTTTCTACATTGTGGTATATGACTGGCAATAGAGAAAACGTTCAAGTGCTTCCTTTGCATATGGCCAAGCTTTTAAAATTAGGGCTATAGCCCACCTGGGGAGATTTTTCATGTAGATACACCTGAAGAGATCTGCATTTTCTAGCTCTTAAAAATGGCCTTGGATCAAACAATGGCCATAGTGCAACTGAAGCATGTGGTCACCCCAGATTTCCCATAATTTTCTGACATCTAAGCAAATGATCTCAGTATTTCCTTAGATTAGAAGCTGAATATCAAGGAGAAAAGAGGAAACTGGAGCGAGTCTTTTGTGCCCAGACGGGAGCTGCATATTCCACTTACAAAAACAAGGGGCCTTCAGTTAGCCAGACCCACACTCTGGGCCATTTGGTCACCATCTGTTATTACCTGAGCATGCCTCTTGGGCTAGTCACCCACCTAACTGACCTTTAGTGACTTATTAAAGAATTCCTTCCAACTACAGTACTATGATACCTTGTTTCTTTCCCGGTGATGTCGTAGGGGCCCTGATTTCACACATTCATTCAACAAAGGTTTGTTGGGTGTCAAACTAGGTGCCTGGGACTGGTCCACGCATTGGGGATGCTAGAATGAAAGAAAAGACAAAACTGTCTGTTGCTCAACCTACATGCTAACCTGCCCCAATCCCTTAATCTGAATCAGATACCTTTGTAAGCTTTGTAGCTCTGCTGGCATCTCATAGATGCCTGTGGCCAGCAAACACAGCAGCGTGTGTAGGCAAGCAGAAAGTGCTGCAGACACCCAGGTTTTCAACACAGGAGCTTTACTTTGTGCAATGCATTGATGATGCATCTGCTGAAATGAGTTACCAATCTGAAAATTGCTCTTTTTTTTTTTTTTAATATATCAGGGATTGAACCCATGGGAGCTTTATGACAGAGCTATATCTCCAGCACTTCATTTTTTGTTTTGTTTTGTTTTAAGACAGAGTCACCCCATGTTACTTAGGGCCTTGCTAAGTTGCTGAGGCTGGCCTCAAACTTGCAATCCTCCTGTCTCCTCCTCCTCAGCTGCTAGAATTACAGATGTATCCCACCTTGGCCAGCTGGCTCTTACTTCTGAGAGCAAAAAGTGGCTTATTATTTAAAGGAACCCATAGTGACCTCTTCCCTCAAATGAATAACCCTCATGCATGAATGACTCACCCTCTTCTGAAGCTGCACTTTTAAGTATGTCAAGTTCATCGGAAGGAGGTCTACTTTTTTGTTCCAGGCAAAGGATGGATGATGAATGAGAAACATGTCCCTGGGCTGAGATGTTTTCCTTCCTTTCATACGTTGCCTGGGGTGCCTATGGTCCCTCCATCAT